AAACAAACAAAAAGTAAAATCTAAAAAGCAAAAAATAACTATTATTGGTCATACGTACTTACATAATTATAGCTTACACACCCACTGATAGGTGAGAAGTCGGTGCCACAAACCCATAACAAAATATATCTTAGGTCGAAAAAATTAACAAATGCACTTAGTCGCCCCTATAATTTTTAAAAGTTCCTCTCGGTTTCCCTGGTATTCCATCATCAGATCCCGACTTCATGACAATGGGACCAAATGACAAACCTACCCTTTCAAACAAAAAAGAATTTCTGAAATCGGTCCAGGCGTCTTCGAGTAATCGAGTAACAAACATAAAATAAAATAAAAATACATTCGAATTGAGAACCTCCTCCTTTTTTCTGAAGTCGGTTGAAAATATGTAATAGGCACAGTTTTTGTCAAATTATGTTTCGTAATTATTATGTAAAATAAACCCCGAAGGGGTAGGCAAAAGTGCACATTACGGCACTTAATGCCACTGTACAATGTAACACCCACTTTTCACTGTTATGAGTCCCATGTAATAGGGTGAGCTTATTACCGTATACCGGGCACATTTCCAAACTCCGTGCTACTACTGAGATTAAAAAAACCCAGTTATATTATGCCCGACCTGGGAATCGAACCCGAGATCCCTCGGTCGGCATCGCACTTGCGACCACTCGGCCAACGAGGCAGTCACTCGACCAATGAGGCAGTCTTTAATTATGTGTGTGGTCAATTATTATTATGTGGTGAATAAATGGATTTGTTATCATCAGTCAGGAGAATTTTCGATCTGTAATTGGCTACGACGTTTTTTCTAATGAAATAAGCAATTTATAACTCAACTAGCTGTTGCCCGCGACTTCGTCCGCGTAGATTAATGACTTCTGACAGAATTAACCAGACTCAATTCAGTGCCCAAGTAAGATTTACCTATTTTGAAATGATTTATCGTAGTTTCAATAAATAAATAATCCCGCAGGGATCTTACCAGTACAGTGCCCGATCACGTAAGGTTTGAGTAATAAAAACCTATTCTATCGACTATTGTTGTACCGAATCTCTCTAGAATAAGTTCAGTGGTTAAGAGTTAGAGAGTCCTGGGGCATTGACGCATAGTTCCCGTTCTCGTGAGACATCTGTGAAAAAACTATCATACGTTACCCAGGTCCTAAATCATTGTTTTAATGATTCTAAATTCAACGGCTAAGAAGATTTATACAAACTCTCATTCCCTATTTTATCCCCTTAGGGGTGGAATTTATCAAAATCCTTTCTAAAGAGATACCTATGTCATAGTAACTTTATGCATGCAAAGTCTCAGCCCGATCAATTTAAAACTGGCAAAGTATCATACAAACTTTCACCCCCTATTTTACCCACTTTGGGGTGAGAATGTTCAAAAACCTTTCTAAAGGGACGTTTACGTCATAATATCCATCTGCACGCCGAATTTCAACCCGATCGGTGTAAAACTGACAAAGCTTCATACAAACGTTCATCCCCTATTTTACCCCCTTAGGGGTGGAAATTATCAAAATCCTTTCTTAGCAGATGCCTATGTGATAACATCTATCTGCATGTCAAATTTCAATCCGATCGATTTAAAACTGACAAAGGCTCATATAAACTTTCATCCCCTATTTTACCCACTTGGGGGTGGAAATTATCAAAATCCTTTCACAGCGGATGCCTACGTCATAACATCTATCTGCATGCCAAATTTCAACCCGATCGATTTAAAACTGACAATGTCCCATACAAACTTTCATCCCCTATTTTACCCACTTGGGGGTGGAAATTAACAAAATCATTTCACAGCGGATGCCTACGTCATAACATCTATCTGCATGCCAAATTTCAACCCGATCGATTTAAAACTGACAATGTCTCATACAAACTTTCATCCCCTATTTTACCCCCTTGGGGGTGGAAATTATCAAAATCCTTTCAAAGCGGATGCTTACGTCATAACATCTATCTGCATGCCAAATTTCAACCCGATCGGTTTAAAACTGACAAAGTCTCATACAAACTTTCATCCCCTATTTTACCCCCATTGGAGGTGGAAATTATCAAAATCCTTTCACTTCGGATGCTTACGTCATGACATCTATCTGCATGCCAAATTACAACCCGATCGGATTAAAACTGACAAAGTCTCATACAAACTTTCATCCCCTATTTTACCCCCTTGGGGGTGGAAATTATCAAAATCCTTTCACAGCGGATGCTTACGTCATAACATCTATCTGCATGCCAAATTTCAACCCGATCAGTTAAAAACTGACAAAGTTTCATACAAACTTTCATCCCCTTTTTTACCCCCTTGGGGGTGGAAATTATCAAAATCCTTTCTTAGCGGATGCCTACGTCATAACATCTATCTGTATGCCAAATTTTAGCCCAATCTGTCCAGCGGTTTGGGCTGTGCGTTGATAGATCACTATGTCAGTCAGTCAGTCAGTCAATCACCTTTGAATTTTATATATATAGATGTATAGACGCATCCAAGTTTGGCGTAGTCAAAGCCTTACCGAGTTAGTAGGGTAGATGCCTAATTTTTATTTTAATGTCCGTCTGGTAGATTATTTTAAATCATTAGCCACGTATTTTTTCTTTTCTCACAAAATTAAATACTTTCGACGATATATTGATTTGAAATGTCGCGTGACGTCACTTCTATGTACATTTTATACGTAGAAATGACGTATAAGCCCCCACTCCTAAACTTTGATTCGTTCTATCTAAGTATTATTTTATTATACGACAAAATAAAAAAATACGTGTGTAATATTTTTTCATTACCTAACTTACGGACTAATTAGATTTTTAATTTTCATACCCTGTCATCATCCCAGTTGTCGGAGTTTTTATCACTTCAAATTTGTTACATAGCAGCGTTTATAAGTAACCCCCAAAACTGTTATGTAGAGTTATAAAAACTCTTCATAAATATTTTAAAAGCAAAACAGACTTAACTGATCAAGGATCATTAAAAATGTATTCACAGTTGAACCGCAGTCCATCCCCTAAATACTCGAACATCACTCAGGTTTTTACTTTGCTAAAAAAAGGCCAATACAACAATAGGTGACAAGTGCTCAGAACCTTATCTCTGGACGTTTAAAAAAAGGTTAAAATTAAAATGCTCGATTTGTCACGGGCCCCCTTTAGACACAGTAACTACCTGACTGGTATTGAATGAAAGAGACAGCTAGATATTTAAAAATAGGGATTTTTGCGTCACCAGAGGCGCTGGTGTCGCAGAAAGTCCTAAGTCGGTAGGATGTTTGGTAAAAGTCAGTTAACCTTTGTCAACTAAATTGATAAGACGTAGGAGGATCTAACGGCTCACTAGCGCCAATTGTTGTGGTGAAAATCTGAAACTTTTATTGCAAGTGTGTTTTGTGAACGTGTGTGTAAAAGTAATTTGTTTTTTATTCTACACCTATGTGTGTTATTTTATTATTACACCTTTAGATGAAGTCCTGGTTTTACTTGTTTTTTATGATGTCTTGTCTCTATGGTTCATGCCGTTTTGTGTATTATTGATAGATTAATTTTAAAATATTTTAGTTTTTTTACTCTCAGAAAAGCCTTGTATGATCAATTTTAAATGTTGTGTTTTGTGAGATTAATAATAACTGGGCTGACTCGGTGTTAAAAATAAAATATGTATAAAATCTAGAAATAGCTAATTCTATAATAAAAATTATTTTCTGCCTTCTTCTGATAGCTATATAATCTCTGCCTTTAGCCAAACGCCACTTTAGCGCTTGTCTACAGAGAGAGTAGAAATCAAAATGTATAGGGATGACACTGACAAGTGTCAAAATTTACGTCAATTTCATATAATTTAGTTTTCTATTCTACATGTAGACAAGCGCTAAATGTCATTTGGCTACAGCTGCAGATGTCAATAAACTTGCAATTTTTATACTATTTAGAGTAATTCTTGGAGATACATCTACTGGCTATCGTTTTAACATGATTGTAATATTAATTGTAAAATTAATTACTGGGATGCATGTTATTATAATTATCTCACAACATATCGGACGTAGAGCGACGAGATATAGTTAAAACATGCAAATATCACCATAAGATATGCATAAATGCTATCACGCAAATGTTAATAATGTAATTCAATGACTAATTAAAATAGTGGCATGAGCATAAGCATACAGTATGATAAACATTAAACCTTCATGAACAGAGCGCCTTTTTAAAAATGCGTCTAATCTTGCGAATAGCTATGGACGATATTTAACTTTAACCATCGAGTGATCTGTAGCCCTCTTTCATCCCATCACTACATAGTATAAAACAATAACGCTATCCGCGCTCTGTCTGTCCCTATGTATGCTTAGATCTTTAAAATTGCGCAACGGATTTTGATGCGGTTTTTTTTAAAATAGATAGTGATTCTTAAGGAAGGTTTATATGTACATGCATATTGCACCCGTGCGAAGCCGGGGCGGGTCGCTAGTAAACTATAAACAAACTAGTGAAAAGTCTTCCCTCTTATTGTGTAACTGACAAAAACACAGCATTCAAAATACCAAAGCATGTTATAAGAATTTCCAACTACCCGTAGAATGCCCCTTGGTCTAAAAAAATTTCGAACTAACCCGAAAATGTCACAAAAAGGCAACATTTTTTACCTGCACTTGACCAGAGAACGCACCCTTAATCTGTAAGATTTCAATTTTAAATTTTATTCCAATAGCAAGAAAGTTGAAAATCGACAAATTGGATAGATTAGGGTGGTCGAAAATGTATACTTTTTTTAAACTGGGGGCCAGCGTGTCGAAACTGGCCGATAGTTCATAAATTGCATTCTACATTCAAAATTTCGTAGAAGTGGATGTTCATAGTTTTCAAACCGGCCATTATTATTGTTTTTCATAAACAATAGTGTTCTATTTGAACAATATTGTTTTTGTTGTAGGAAGTGTTTACTTGGAATTTTAAATTTATTTATTAGTATTATTGTTCTTCAGCTCGCCCGACTCGGGTACTACAAGCTGGCGGCCGCAGTACAGGCGGACACTGAGCAGCGCCCGCGCAACGGACTTCATCATCCACATCCAAAGGAGATCAGGTATAATATTTATTTGCTTCTTCTATAAGTCTATTGTTATCTAATGGCTATTTTCAATAATTTATCTGTTTGATTTGCTAGTTACAGATATAATTTTGTCATAGTTTTATATAGAGCTATTGTCTATCTCTAAATATAAAAACCACCTAAGTCCTTCAGTCTGGTCATAAGTCTTGGAGTCAGTCTTAATCATATTCTTAATCTTTTGGTTGTCACAGTAAATGGGCGAACTGTTTTCTATTTATACAAGCCGAATTGACAATTGGGTATTTTCCTTAATCAAAAACAAATTAATTCGACGATTCAATCCAATAAAAACATAAAAAATGAATCACACTTTAATGTTAGTATATTTCCAGCAGATTTTTAAGAAATAAGTATGCTGTTTGGCGCTAAAAAACGTGACGTCACAATTCACAATCACGTACAACATTCATAGAAAACTGTCGTTTTTGACAGTTCGAAAAAAGTATTAGTAGGTAGTTGTCGAATACCATAATTTTAATGCGCTTACCCGTGCTTATCTTTTGTTATTTTTTAAAAATATCTAAAGGAAGTGGTTATCTTTTTCGCCAACCTTGCTTAATTTAACCAAATCCAACAAAAAAGGCTGGGAATGCACTAGGAACTCCTCTGGTGTTTCTGTTGGCGCTGATAACTTATCAGCAACAACAGTTCCTCTATTACATAATTACAATTGTTTTGGTAACTACGTTATATACTGACTTCAACCCCCTTTTTTAACTCCGTAAACTAATATACCAAAATCTTCTCCTAAGTGTAACTCCTAAGCCGCGGAGGACTTAACGGGTTGCCGGGGCTCCGGCTCGAAGTGCAGGAGTAGGAACGGGGTGGTTTTTAGTCAGTAAGAGTCTGACACTCCCTCCCACTTCACCCAGGCGGGAGAAGTCAATCGATGATTTTCCCGTCTTAAAAAAATATAAAGATCGTTAAAAATCCTTACTTAATATTATAAATCGGAAAGTGAGTTTGTTTGTTTGTTCCGCTTTCATGCTGTAACTACTAAACCGATTGCTTTGAATTTTTGCAGACGTAAAGTTCGAAGTCCGGATTAAATAATAGGGTATCTTTAACTAGGCTTTTTATCCCAGAAAAATTGATATTCTTGAGGGGAAACAAAAGTATTGGTATAGCTACTTTTTATCCTTTTGTGACGCGAGCGAAGCCGCGGGTAAAAGCTAGTGATGAATAAATCTTGAAACGTGTCAACGATCACGTTTGTACAATGTTTTTCTTCGCAATCTATTCGTACTATGATGAGAATATATCTGTGAAATAGCCTATATCCGGTCCAGTGACCTAAATTCACAGGTCCACTGCTCATAGCTCGTAGCTGTCGGTTCCAATAGCCATGTTGACAGCTAGTTAGCCTGTTTTTCTTCAAATTGATGTTTAAAATGTATACTTTGAATTGTTTTTGTGTGGGCACACATTATTGTTGTGTCAGCCACAAAAATAAAAGTAATCAAGACTGTCGGTGAAGACAATTCTTAATGTATATTTTGTCCGTAATTGGAATCCCAAACTGCAAACTAACTTGATAGCTCTGAAGATTTCGGGAACTTGAAATTTTCAAGCGATAAATTTATGTAGTACTTAGTAAGTTTGCCCCACACTAGGATTTTCTCCTGTGTCGCGGGTGCGTTTACAAACATACAATATCACATACACATGACGCCCAGACTCGGAACAATAATCTGTGGATCACACAAATAGTTGTTCCGTGCGGGAATCGAGCCCGCGACACGCTTTGTATGATTCTCGTGTGAATGACGAATTCAATGTATACAATCCTTATGACGTCACATGTGATTAAATATGCACTTATTATAATTAAGTACATATATTTTATGGTATATGTTAAGTATTCGTGTAATTATGTCAGAGATGACCTCAGAAACAAGGGTTTTATACTATTTATAGACAGACACCACTACTTGTAATAGTTTGCATCAGTCATGTACGTTTTATTACACTTAGTTAAATTACAATTTTGTAGTAGTACGATAACATTAATAAAATTGGTATTGTATTGTTGATTGATTTGACACTCCACTTTTCACCCGCGGCATCACCCATGTGAGAAATGTCACCTATCTCACTATGGAACCTCCTATCTCACATCTATATAAATAAAAATGAATTTTCGTCCCTTAGTCTCGCTAAAACTAGAGAACGGCTGAACCGATTTGGCAAATTTTATTCTAGGAATATTCGTCGAAGTTAAGGGAAGGTTAAAAATCTATACTAATATTATGTAGCTAAAGAATTTGTTTTTTTGTCTGTTTGTTTGAAGGCGCTAATCTCCGAAACTACTGGTCCGATTTAAAAGATTCTTTCAGTGTTGGATAGCCCATTTATCGAGGAAGGCTATAAAATATCACGGTACGATTAATAGGCGCCGAGCAGAGCGAGTGAAACCGCGCGGAAGTAGGTAGTGTAAGAATAAAATTTTTAGACAGTACGAAGTTTGCCGGGTCCGCTGGTTATATTATAAAATGTCGTCGCAATGTAAAAGAAACGAAGACACACTTTCGCATTTCTCACGTTAGTAAATGAAATAGTATTAATGTAAAATACGATCTTTAATGATGTTCTCCGAAGCGCTTTTAGCTCTCATTCACAGCATAGACGAACTCACGACCTATTTCTATTGTGAACAGTTTAAAAGCTCACAGCGAAGCCCTCCACTTATTTATCGCAGACTCATTAATATTGTTCCTGCAGTCATTTCCTAACTAATTATGGACAATTTAATTGGTTTAGTGTTTAGTTTAGGTGCCCTTTGCAAATAGCTACCGTTTGCGTTGTTATGAAAAGACGTAGCGGCGGTAGAGTATAAGATATTTGTCATTCATCCCACGATGGATGCAAGAATAAATGCCGCTTAGAAGATTAGTCATTGGACTGATCCCGGGTAGCAGAACTATCTAGGTGCTTCCTCTTGAAACCAATCCTAATTTGAATTCAATTTCAATCTAATAAAATCTCAATAATTATTCAATGTCAAACTCAACACCCCCAACACCACAATACAACCCCAAATGTAGCTGTTAAAATGTCATTCAGAGTACGGAATATAAAACTAAACTCAACATCATTTAGTTCATTAAATATCCACGCAATACGGTTGGAACGGGTTACCGGGGCTCCGGCTCGACGTGCAGGAGAAGGAACGGGGTGGTTTTTAGTCAGTAAGAGTCTGACACTCCCTCCCTCCTCACCTAGGCGGGTGCAGTTATTCGATGATTTTCCCTCCTTAAAAAAATACGGATGGAATGGGAGACTAAAAAATTTGACAATATCAATGTCGATCGATCGGAATTGGATTCAGAAGTAAGCCCCTAATAAACCCTGACCAGCCAGACTGGTGGATGGTGGTTTCATTGGCGGTGGCACGTGCAGTGGATTGCTCGATTCTCTACAGTATGGTTAAGTTGGGCAGTGCTGGTGTATACATGTCATGTTCGTGAACGGTCGCCTTAAACTGGGACTGGTCAGCTCCAGACTGTATTATTTATTGTCTTAAGGTTTTTTCTTTTTCGATCTCTTTAACTAGATTTTGGTGTTACATTGTTCTCGCACAATCGAACCAATGAAACTATGTAACTAGATAATTGTATTGTGAAACTGATTGATAAAGAGTAACCTACAGAGTTTCTTACTCGTCTTTCTCCATAGGAATCTACACCTTGCCTTGGACTCAGCAAATAGCTTCACTTTTAATTTTTTTGTTGACGTTCAAAAGTGTTTTCCGTCTAATTGAAATAAATGATTTTGACTTTGACTTCGAGTGGACTGTTACGCCACTATCAAATGTGGAGACTCTTTGTTCGCTGTTACAACATTTGCTGAAAGAGTAGAGGGGTGGTCACAAATGTATTCTACTCTGCAGTCGCCACGACCATTTTTTAATCATGAGTTGCTTAAATAAATCTTGTTTCATCATCAAAATCCAGCCGAACTTAGTACATACAAAGCAAAGATTTCTATTTTCTAATTCCTAACACGGTGTACGGACTACGTAGTTACCGACACAACCTAGTTACCAATTACTCGTGATTATAATAGTGAAAGTAGACATTTTGAGATTAGCAATGTCTGACTGCGGATAGGCCATCTTTACTTTGTTTTTTTTTTCTTTTTGTCGGGCTTTCTCTATGGGTTTTGGAGAAAGGAGGTTGAATTTATGATAGTGATGATGATTATGATGAAGTGCAATAAACATTTAGGTTGCTATGGTAGTTTTTTTAATTTTATGCTATAAAGAATTAGAAGTAGTAAATTGGGGTTAATTCTAAACGTGGGTTTGGCTTGTATCGTTCATATTATATACCCAGAATAACAAAAGTCAAAGCATTTATTTCAATTAAACCATAGTTAGGTACTTTTGAAAAGTCAACAAATACAAAATAAATAATAGTCTGTCAGTCAGTCCGTCAGTGAAACTAGGTGAAGCTAGGTGCTCATTCCAAAATGTAGATTCGAATGGAGAAGAACGAGCAAGAAACTCCATTCGTAAAACAACTAGAAGATCATACAAATGGTTATTTGCAACAGCTTAGCCAACTAGTTGCACCACAGCTTATTGTCCAGCCGCTGCGCCGTTGTGCGATCAAAAAATAATAACTATATTTATTAAGAAAACTATAATAATATATTTGTTTCTTGTTACAGTAGAAACAAAACTCCAACAATGGACAGTGACAGCCTGGTGCTATGGCGGCGGCCGCTCACTACACTGGAGTACTTCTTCAAGGAACTATTCATATTGATCTCTACAGGATTACAGAGGTATGGAAACTTTGCAATACAATTTACTGTAGTAGTAACATAACATCACGCCTTTTATCCCCGAAGGGGTAGGTAGAGGTGCACATTATACCACTGTATAATGTCACATCCACTTTTCACTATTTATGTTATCAGTCCCATGTAATAGGGGTGAACCGTATACCGGGCACGTTTCCAGGACTAGTAGTAGTTCTTAATTGGGACAAGCCCGCCACAACCTCCCAAAACCGCTGCAACTCCTGTAAGCCAGGATCTACAGCAGATACAACCATGCAAACATCGGAACACTGAAGTTTATTAATTCGGTACTTGCCTTAATCAAAAATACATTATTTTGACTGTTCAATACAATAAAATGTAAAAAAAATAATCACACTTTCATTAATTGATTTTATGACCAACTTAATTTTAGTATTTTTTTAGTAAATCCTTAAAAAATAAATATGCTTTATGACGCTAAAAAAAAGTGATACACAATCTCCTACAAAATTCATAGAAAACTTTCGTTTTTGACAGTTCACAGGATCTTTTTAAAATGTCTTATAATAAATCATGTAATGCTCATATTTGTATTGTTCCAGGTTATTAACGTACAAACTGTTGGCACTGACGATATTTGTAGCAATATTAGGAACAGTTGTATCTTATTACGTTAGCGGCCCGCACCAGCCTTATGTTCAGGTAAACAGCATTTTATTACTACTTAAGTCATCATCATTAACAACAGCATATAAGTAGCCACTACTGACCAAAGGCCTCGTCTCGCACGGAGAAGATTTGAGCAATAATCACCACGCTTGCTCAATTCGGGTTGACGATTTCAAACTGAATTTTTTGTTGTGTGTGTGGGGGGACACTAGAATTTTCTCCTGTGTCGTGGGTGTGTTTACAAACATACAAGTTCACATACACAAAGACACCCAGACCCGGAACAACAATCTGTGGATCATACAAAGAGTTGCTCCGTGCGGGAATCGAACCCGCGGCAGCCAGTTGGCCAGCCACCGCACCAACCGTGCAGTCGTAGTTGTCTTAGGTTTTCTTTTGGTATACTATCGACTCATTAGATATGTATATTTCTCCTCGGCAATGATATATAAGACTAAAATCGATAATAAAATTATATTTATTTAATTTTTCAGTTGGTAGTAGCGACCCTATCGTGGTGGGGCTGGTGGGTAGTGCTGGGCGTGTGTAGTTCAGTGGGGCTGGGTACAGGTCTGCATACATTCCTGCTGTACCTGGGACCTCACATCGCGAGGGTGACGCTGGCTGCGTACGAGTGCGGAGCCCTCAACTTCCCTGAACCGCCTTATCCTAATGAGTAAGTAGATTTTATACTTTTTGAAAAGTAGCCTAGGTTTTCAATTAACGAAAATGATGATACCTACCTAGGAAAATGTTCATAATAAATTAAGAATTCATAATTTTACTCTGTGTAGCAATGAATCAAAAAGTTATACATTTACTTGACGTCGTGGCTCTGTGTAAAATCTACTGAGATGTGACGTCATTTACTCATTGAATTTTCGTATTAATATTATTTACTTAATTTCTTAATAACATAAAAAATACTGCTCTACAAATTGATACAAAATATCCAACAATATTTATTTTACACTACTTCTTTACTAATAATCGAATCTTTTTTAACTCTTCTTTTTCTCAATTCCAGTATAATATGTCCAGCCCAGATCGACCCGAGCAACGTGGTGTCGATATGGAACATAATGTCGAAGGTCCGCATAGAGTCCATGATGTGGGGTATAGGCACGGCGCTGGGGGAGTTGCCGCCATACTTCATGGCGCGCGCCGCCAGGCTCTCGGGGGGAGGGGTCGCTGAGTTGGCTGCTAATGACGATTCTAGGACTGGGAGGTGAGATAAAGATTTATTATTTTGTAACACTCAAAATATATGGTCTCTAAAGAAAAACCTTTCACACAAGAAACTACGACGGTGTCACAAGAAAAGTGGAGGCCCAATCATCCCCCCTTATCCCCAATCCCTATACCCCTACATCCTTAAATCCTTAATACCAAAAACCTGGCAACGTACTTATAACTCTAGTATTGTGGATGTCCATGGACGGCGCAGATTTTTTGATTGCCTACCATTGAGTGATGTGTCTCATCAACAGCCTATAAATGCCCACTGCTGAGCAAAGCCTCTTCTCACACGGAGAAGGTTAGAGCATTAATCACCACGCTTGCTCAATGCGGGTTGGCAATTTCAAACTCATAATTAGAAATTATAAGTCCAGGTTTCCTCACGATGTTTTTCCTTCACCGTTTGTCAGTGGTGTCTAAATAATCTTAGAAAGTACATATAACTCGGAAAAAGTCACATTGGTACTTGCCGTTGGTAGGTTTCGAACCCGCACCCTCATGCATGAGAAATGGGCGTCTTAAACCTCCGGGCCACCACGACATTATATAGTGATGTGTCTGCTCGTTTGTAACCCAGACGTACGTCTGTCGTATGTCATAAAAATATGGTATTTGTTTTATTTTGTATTAAACCTGGTTTTTTCTTTGTAACAAGTACAATGGGACAAGCACCAACGTTTTTAGATTTCGTTTCGTTCTAATATTTACCACCAGCGTCGACGGTTGATTATTATCAGGTTGCTGGTCTGTCAAAGATTTGACATACATACATACATAACTTCACGTCTGTCTCCCATGGGAGTAGGCAGAGACTAAGGAACGCCAATTACTACGATTCTTACATACCTCTTTCGCTTCATTAACAGTCATCAATCTTTTCATGCATGCTCGTCGGTTAAGGGTACTTTTAATTTGGCCCTTCTTTAATATATCGCCAATCTGGTCACTATTTGACAAAGATATCTAAAGTGTAATTTTCTCAAATTCCAGGGCAAAGGTAATGGTACAAAAGCTAGTCCAGAAAGTTGGTTTCGCTGGTATCCTGGCGTGCGCGTCCGTGCCCAACCCTCTGTTCGACCTGGCCGGCCTGACGTGTGGACACTTCCTCGTCCCGTTCTGGACATTCTTCGGAGCCACGGTGCTGGGCAAAGCGGTCATCAAGATGCATATACAGAAGATGTTTGTTATCATCGCTTTTAATGAAACTTTAGTTGGGTGAGTGACATTTTTATTTATTATATTACTAGGTTCTGCCCGCGACTTCGTACGCGCAGTCCCGTTTTCTCCCGTTCCAGTAGGATTTTCAACATTTTTTTTGTCGTAAGAACCTTCTCCTGACAATAACCAACACAACAAAAAAAAAAAAGATCAGCCAAATCGGTCTAGCCGTTCTCAAGTTATGGCGTGACAATGGGAAACGGATTTCATTTATATATATATAGATGTATTTTATACTGTGTACAAACTTCATAGCCGGTTATAATAATAACAACAAGAAAACCAGCCTAGAGCTGAGTAATCCTCCGCCTTACTCACCCAGCCGCCTCACCCAGCCGGGAGAAGTCATCGATAATTTTCTCCCCCTTACAAAAAGTAATAAAAAAAGAGTAATAGAACGAATACAAGAATAATAATATTTTTTACTTAAATTACTGATAGCAAAACAAAACCTTCGAGTTTAGTATTTTCTATACATTTGGAACTTTTTAGAGGTGAAATATTATTTTTTGACACATTCAGCCATATAGAGAAATATACAGAAATGTTTAAAATTAGACCATTAATTAATTATGTTTGTTATAATTGTCTAGTAATATGTGTATTAACAATCCATTTTTTCAATTCCAGCCAAGTCCTTTCCTGGGTAGAAAGGATACCATACATCGGGCCTAAGTTGGAAGCTCCGCTACTGGAGTTCCTTCGCAACCAAAAAGCAAGATTACATAAAAACGACTCTGCAGCGCCCATAGAGAATCAAGGCTCAGTTCTATCGAGTCTTCTAGAGAAGTTTGTGTTGGCTATGGTTGTCTACTTTGTCGTGTCTATAGTGAATGCGCTTGCGCAGAACTATAGCAAGCGAGTCGGTAAGAAGAAGGGCAAGAAACGGGAATAGGGACTGCGGACGCCGGGCGACGCGCTCTGTGCTATCGGTATGTTTCATTATTATTTCGAATATGTTCTTATTTGATATGACAGTACTTAAGGACTTTTTCCTGTGTCGTATATGCGTTACAAACATACAAATTTGTTTACAGTCATCAAACTCGGAACAAGTTAATAATACAAACTGCAGTCTTTTAATTGACCAGTTGATAGTTATAAGATAAGTCCGACTTGAGATTCGATTCCGAAACCTTTAGTTACACAGACACCTTGTAACTACTACCCTAACCACCGAGACTTTTGTAGTATCGTTACTAAATTAAAATGTCTGGCTTCTTTTACCATGAACCTCACCCATATTATTTGTATTTTGTAAGAAAACTAACTCATTTTTATGATTTGTCTTGCAGCGCGGCGGCGGCCGTCGGACCGCATGCGCCGGCGCCGGTAGTACAGACTCGCGCAGTCACGTGGACACGTCACACTGCCACCTACCGTTCTCATGGCGAACTAGATTGTATACACGTAAATATAAACATTAAATTAAGGATTATAATTACTATACTGAAAATATAGGCAAGATTTTGTTAAGTAATATTACTTATAACAAGATACCTAATTACTTAGGTAATATTATTCTCTCTTTCTCATATAAATCGCATCGAAATTGGTCCATACGTTAAAGAGTTACAATACCATAAACTTTTACGTTGGGAGTTTAAAAATGTAGTTTCTACACACTATAACAAGAATAAAGCTTGTCATGTTTATTGGTTCATAACTCGGAAACGGCTGCACAGATTTTGATGATATTTAATTCATTTTCTTCCCAAATAACTAGAAAAATATGTCAAAAAATTACCTTTTTTAAACAATTCCCTGATTGAAGCGTCACCAAAGAGCGCCATTGTATATGTATATGAACGGTAGGTGTTTGCGCAATAACTAGCTAATATAATTATATAGGTTATTATATTATAAGGTGCGTAACTATAGTGTTCTTTCTCATACATAAATTGAAGTGTTTTGTCATTATGTGCGAATATGCAAACGTTATGTTGGTATTTTATCGTTTTTATATAGGTATAGAAACTAATCCGCCAACAAATAGTTGTAATTATGACCGATTTCAATTTAAAATCTATAGATAGGTTATTTGCAGACTGCCTCGTTGGCCGTGTGGTCGCAAGTGCGACTGCCGGGCAAGGGGTCTCGGGTTCGATTCTCGGGTCGGGCAAAGTATTACTGGGTTTTTAGAAATCTCAGTAGTAGCACGGAGTCTGGAAATGTGCCCGGTGTATGGCAATGGGCTCACCCCCTATTACATGGGACTCGTATCATAAATAGTGAAAAGTGGGTGTTACATTGTACAGTGGCATTATATGCCGAAATGTGCACCTCTGCCTACCCCTTCGGGGATAAAAAGGCGTGATGTTATGTTATGTTATTTGCAGTGTAAAAAAATCAAAACTATTCAGAAAAGGGGCGACCGTATTGACGCAAAGACAAAACTAGTACTAGGTTCTCATATCGGTTATTAATTTCCGTCGAAATTATTGCAATATCATTATGTCATAAAATAACTTTGAAAGCAAATGTTTCGGTAATTTTTATGTGTTTGGGATAAAGCTGTTAATTGATTGAATTACCTGCTAAATATAAAAAGTTTTTTCTATCTCTATCAGTAAAAGAAATAATTCTAGAAAGTGATATTAGGTATTTCGTTTTACCTAAGAAAATTATATTTTGTTTACAGATTTTTTAATAAACGTTATTTTTATATGACGTTTGCGTATTCGAATGTAATGTCGGATTTTAGACATGGTTGCTTTTACAATAGGCAGTTTTATGTCGGAATACTGAAACGCTACCCAATTTTAAGTATAGTTCTATCTCCACAAATTCTTTGTAAAATGACAGAGATGGCACGATATTTGAGCACGACTTAAAATTGAGTAACGTTTCAGTATTCCGGTATTATTTAGTTTGATTTCGTATGCGGTCAGGCAAAATAGTAGATATTTTATGAGAGTACTCTTTGTAAGTGGGAGAAGGGGGAGCTACAAGACCGATAAAGTGACTGTTGACGTTTCGTAAGAGTATATGCCTGTTTTAAAATGACTGTGAAGGGATATAAGACAGTTATTCATGTCCCTGGGACACGCCGGACTTCAGTGTCCCGGTGTTTTCATGGTTGTATCTATTGTAGACTTACAGGAGTTGCAGTGGTCCTAGGAGATCGGGGGTGCTTATCTCAGAAAAAAGATTTATTATGTCTCTGTTAGTATAATTGACAGATATTTTGACGATTTTTTTTTCTTTTATGAAACGTTGCCCTACACTAGGATTTTCTCCTGTATCGTGGGTGCGTTTCCAAACATACAAGTTCACATACACATGACATAAAGAGTTGTTCCGTGCGAGAATCGAACCTGCGGCTCTTTGCGCGGCAGCCACTTGCAGTCAATGAATATAAAACATGAAATATTTAAGTTCAATTAGATATCATGTGCAACAGGTTCCATAAGTTAAAATATACTTTGACATCAATCTCCCTCTCCTTCATTCAATAGTTTTGTTGTACCTCTCATCAGTAAATAAAGACGATATACACTTATATACATAAATTATAAGTAATAAATAACAGCTATCGCCCGACCAATAGCTCTTGCCTTTACGACAAATGTACATAAGTAGAGTATATAATAATAATATTATATAAAGTGTAACAAAATTTATGCGAAGCCTTGCAGACTCTAATTTAGGCTATGAAAATGAAACATAAAAATAAATGTTCATACAATTTCTCTTGGTAATCGTCGTAATTTCTATGGAAAAGATATTTTGTTACCGACTTCAAAAATGGAGGAGGTAGGTAGGTAGTATGTTACAATGTTCTATTTATTAAAAATTACCAAGTCGGCAGAAAATAAGAGCGTCTACTACGCTCCTTACTTCTTAAAATTCTATAACATTCATACATTTGATCATGTAAACACGCCTTCGAAGGGCGCATCTCGATTTGATTCCCTTATTCGTACTAAAACAGAAGTTGTTCAATTTCCTGATTAAAACTAACACATGCATGATCTTTTGTATATTTTGATACACTTTATATAAATCATATAATATTAAATATAGATATAACACCAGCGTGAGTGACTAGTATAGGTGCTCAAATTAATAGCCCAATACCAAATATTTTGGGCTAAATGACATTTAAATGTAACCGGCATTCAGCCATCTTTAATAGACAAGAATCAGCAACAAGCATTTGTTTTCATAGACAAATTTTAGTAAGACTTTTTTAATTTAGAATGTTGATTTAAAAAGTTAACGAGGATTTTGATTGGTTAAAATTTTTAGGTTTTCAAAAGACAATCTCACTTTATTTTAAAGGTAAAAGGTTAACAGTAAATGTAATACCAAAATATATATTTATTATAATTTTCATGTGATTATTATTGATTCCAAAAATATATCATTTGGTGCTGTTCCTATTTTAATGTGTTGTCTCCCGTTATTTTATTATTAAAATAAGTTTTATTTTTACCTAGTCCAAGGTAGATATTATGTTTTACGTTTTATTATTTATTTTGCTATATTATTGTAGATGGTTTTCGCTTTGTATTTACGCGAGCGGGGTTGAATTTCATTTTGTGTATGCGTTAGATTTTTGTGATAGATTACCTAATGCAATTTGGCGCATTATTTAAGGTGTCAATGTGATCGTAAAGTATCCACATAATGTCAAGTTTGTTAGACTATGAGTACTTTATGCGTCACCAGCGCCATCTAGGGATCGCAAAAATGGATACGTCAATATTGTAAGTTCTAATATATACTCCCAAATTTTAGATAAATTAATATTAATATTAAGATAATACGAATGAAAGACATTTTTGTATCTCGTGTATAAAAATATGATTATAATGTTAAGTAGATAAATGATGTCCAGTATTAAAAGTAAGGATTTGTTTTTATTTATAATAGGAATGAATTCATTGTGTAAGTTTTCAGTGGTCGCATTCCTTCTATGTAGACGTTGCAAAAATTAAAATTTGATATTAACGTTTTGAATTTTAAATCATAGAGCTGTGTTTATGTAATGCTAATTATTAATTCTTGTCTTACAACGCACAGAGGGCAGAAATTCTGAGTAAAAATTAACCCTATAAAACTTTAAGTCGACAACAGCGCCCTCTACGCAAAGAAAAAAAATAATTAGCATTTCATAAAACCGTATTTAAAAAAAATGTGGGTAATTTAAAAATAGATGTGTGCAAATCTATCTATTGTCTAATCTCTATTTGTAGTTTTTTGAATTAGGTATATCTAGGTATCAAATTCTGCTAAGTGTTTTTGATTTTTGTGTTTATTTGTCACAGTTTCACCATTATAGTAGATGTTGGTTTGTGTGTCTCACCGCATATTAGTGCCTATCTTTGTATTAAAATGTTGACCTTTAACTTGTTTAATGTTCATGTGTAATAACCAAACTTCTTCATATAAAAGTGTTCTTTATACATCGGTAAAAAGGTCTATAATGGAGTGGCTGAGAGCAGATACCAGTGTCCTCTCAGGGATCAACGGCATGTCGACAGAATTCGAATGTTTAAAATATATTTATTACTTTCCATTTATCTTTGACTTTATTGTCTTACAATTAAGTCTTAAACTCCATTGAATATTTGAAGATTAGGGCAGTATGATAGGCCTGGCTTGAATAGTTGGCTAGAAGGAACAACATTTTTGTTCCAATGTAAAAATATTTTTAACTGTTCAGTTCCCAAGCGGTCACCGGTGACCTCTCTCCACTAACTCCATTATAGATCTAATTTCCGATGTTTAGAGACTACTTTTGTATGTACATATTTTGGCATTAATATCAACGCATTAAACACATGTATGACATAGGAGAGAATCCTAGAGTGGGGCAATGTATAAAAAAAAATATCTTCTGCCCACCTTCCCCCGAAGCGCACAAGTCTCATTTGATGAAATTAGGTACATTGTACTAGATAGGTAAATTAATTCGCGTTTTTATAGTAATTTAATGAAAATATCCAACCATGGTGCCAAATAACATACGGTTTACTTAAAGCTACATTTTGTGTACTTTGATTGGCTTTTCATAGTAATCACATAGTTTTTTTAGCAGAATTTGAACCTAAAACTAAACTCTAGTGGCATTCATTTAAAGTTCATTATCTAGTACTTTATTTTATATTCTACATTCTGTTCTAAGTATGCTTTATGCTACATTCCACGTTATTCTAGTTTCTTTTTAACTTTTTAAAACAAAATTTGATTTTGTGAACTTCCTGGCTATTCTTCTTTACATAAATTGGCTGCAAACAGGGTAGGCTTCAGGCCGCTTTTCAATTATGTAAAATAACAAAATTATAAAGAAAATTAAATTCTATGTAAAAGTTATTAAACCTCTTTAGTGATACATATCACTGCCATAGACAAATGTAAAAAAGTTTTTTTCTATCAGTTATTACCAAACAGGATTGTTTAATGAGTTTATTGTATGTTTTGTCCTAATATTGTATATAAAGAGAATGTATTCGTATATATCGTAGTTTGTACAGTCATGTGGAGTGGTACATTAGTACAAAATATTGCTTATTTTTTTGTAAGTTTGAGGTTTCATACTCACAAAGCAATAAATGAATGTTCACGATTTAATGTTTTATTTCTACATTCCTTTTCTGTTATGAAATACAAGATAAACGAGGTTTAGACTGCTTCATTGGTTCAGTCGACTTCAACTTCATCCTTCCCTTGAAAAAGCGTAATGTTTTCTAAAATAGTTTAAGATTTTAAAATGCGCTAGAATGGACCCACCATTCTAGCGCAAAATGTCCAAGGTCGTTGCCACCCTATCCAAGAATCAGCAGAAGATATATATATCCATGGGAGATGCGACAATAGAGAGTATGAAAATTTCGTTATTTTTAGCTGGGATCTCTAGAGATATTAGAAGATTTCTGTGTGGACTACGTAAGGACCAGTTTGATCAAGTTATCCCATCATCGAAAAATAAAAACTAAAACAACAATTTTAACACTAGAAAGACGGGAGCAGTCATTTGACCGCAATTTGATTTTAAATGTTGAATAACTTGAAATCTATTTGAGTTTTTAAACTGAGACTTTATGACTTTTATTTATTTTACTAGTTAAATGCAACTATGTATGAAAATAAATCACAACTCTTTTATTTATTATTTAAAATCTTGATCTACCTACAAAGACGGCGGCAGTCATTTGACTGCTGACAACCAATGAGTGTTTATAAGTGTAATATGAGAGGGTAGAATACAAATTATATACACTAATTCATTGTTTATAGTTTGTTTATCAAATGAGACCGTATCATTTCAAGTGTCTGTGAACTTTTACGAAATTATTGAAAGTAGTTTGTGGTCGCAACGTATTGGAGTCTTGAAAATGAAAAAAACGTTTGTTACTTTCAAAATATTTGTGAAGATGAGTCTGATTTTGACTCTAACAATACAAAACATGATAGCGACGACGATTATGTGGTACTACTTGTCAGTTCGAATTCCTCTACGGACGGAAGTGACCTGAAAGACCAGATACTTCGAGAAAATTTATCAGACGTTGACAAGTCGGGTTCTCGTGGTTGTAATCGTTGCTGTGGTAGTGATAAAGGCTGTGAAAGGAGTTTGGAAGATCCTGAGCATCAAGGTCTTTTCACAACTATCGACTGTATTTCTTGTACACACCTCAAATGGCATCTACTCTAAGTGGTCAAATGTCAATGAATCCGTTGATACAGATGCGTCTTGTGAAACTTTTTGCAAATACTGGTCAAAATGTTACGAGCATCTCAAAGGTGAAATACTTTTTTTTTCATATTTGTGACCTAGCAAAAATATAACATAATTTAGATAATTTTCCTTTTTAGATATAATTCCTTCATTTGGTATAGGAAAATGTAGAATATTACATGAAACAAAGGCTATTTATACTAAGTTCAGTGGGTGAACTTAGAAGCAAAGTATAAATTGAAGAAGACTCTCTAAAACTGAATCCTTGCCTGAAGAGTCTAGATCTTTTACTTCTCAATCTTTTGCACAAAATCCAGTAAATTCCAAAATATTATATACACAAATGCAAATACAAAACCCATAAAGAATGCGACAATTGCAAAAAGCCACTTTGCGGCTTTTGTAATGTAAACAAAATGATAAAATTAGAAATTTTATACATATTACTTAATTAACAGTATATTATACCATATTTAATACAATAGGTACCATTTCTAGCACTTAAACATAAAAAATATCAATAAAACTTGGAGCAGTCATTTGACCGCTCGCCGTCTTTGTAGGTAGATGATTTTTTCCGTCTTTCTAGTGTTAATATCAATGTGCATAAGATTTTTTAAATGGACAGATTCTGCCTATTTGAACTCACTTTCCTGTCTCCCATAGAGGTAGGCGAGACTATGGAACGCCAATGTTTACGATTCAGGAATACCTCTTGGAATGAGTCAATAGAGTAAGATACTGTATGTAAAAATAACTATTGTATCGGCTACTCTACTTATAAGAAAAACACAATTATTATTAAAAAACTCTGTATGAAAGTATGCGAAAATATTGGTGATGACTTCAAAACGTTTCAAAAAGCAGTGTCAACTAATATAATGACAACTGACAGTTATCAACTGCCACTGTCAGTGTCATTCATATACTTACTAAAGTTTTGAGGTTAGGTTTCCACCTTCCTCTATTTATTTTTTCTAAATAAGAATAATAATTATATTCAAATAAACAGTCGCAATGTTGCGACAATTAGCTTGGACAATAGTCCAGTCTAGGGGCATTAAACACAAGATTGATGTCAAGTGGGTAAGACCGGAGTATGTGCCAGCTTACAAACCAGAAAAATCTGGAGACTTGGAAAGTTTGCCTCCTATTCCTGAGACCGCTATTGGCAGAGATTATGCTCTATCTGAAGAAATCAAAGAGTAAGTATGCACATTAATACAAGAAGACATCGAAAAATATCTGACTTGTTTACAATTTTTCTTCTGTGGCAGTCTAAAAATTTCTTGTAATTTAATGTATTGTAGTTCGAAGTATTTGATTTCTGTCGTAACTCCTTATTACACCTAGAACTATTGTTTTCCAGTCATCCGGCCATTAAACCACTTTAGTCATTAGGTATTTTTAATTTTTTCTGTCATTAAACGTGTTAGCCCGTTTCGCCATGGCAATATCAGATTACGTAAAACATAATATATATATCCGTTTCTGACTGCCTCGTTGGCCGAGTCGTCGCAAGTGCCGGTCTCGGCCAAAATATTACTTGGTTAAAAAAAAACACAGTAGTTAGTAGCACGGAGACTGAAATTGTGCCCGGTATATGGCATTAGGTTCATCCCCTATTAAGTGCTGTAACGTGCACTTCTGCCTGTCTTCAGGGATAAAAGGCTCGATGTAATGTTATATCCATTTCCAGCGCACCAGAGTCAGTTAAGAAGATATTCTCAGTTGGTCACCTTGGTCGCAAGGAGTACAACATTCTGGTCAAGGAGGAACTCAAGAACAGAGTCCGGAGACATGAGTATGACTTCTCTACTGCTGAGACTAAGAGTAAGAGTTGTATTTGTTGACGTTTCAAAAGTACCAAACTATGGTTTAATTGAAATAAATGCTTTGACTTTGACTTTGAAGATAAATTCAAATGTTTACTATGAACTAAACTATATAATCATTAAAAAAAAACTTACTACATACATTACATTTGTGATTTATGGTTTAATAAAGTGTTTAATATTAATCTTTTTCTTTTCTTTTGCAGTTGCTAACATGACAGGACAGATTCGATATCTCCAAGATAATATGGATAAATTCCCTAGAAATTCCAAAATGAAGGTAAAATTAACAATCTATCTATATCTATATATATAAAAGAAAGTCGTGTTAGTTACACCACTTATAACTCAAGAATGGCAGAATAGATTTGGCTGAAAATTGGTAGGGAGGTAACTTAGAGCCAGGAGACCGACATAGGATACTTTTTAACCAAAATTTTTTTTTCCGAAAATCATGAGCGGGGACGGGAAAAAAAAAATGGGATGGTACGCATACGAAGTCGCGGGCAGAAGCTAGTTTTTAATAAAGCAAAAATATTTATCTTCCAAATTGATTTTGAGTCCCATGTAATAGGCTCACATACTATTACATGGGACTCATAACATAAATAGTGAAAAGCAGGTTTTACATTGTACAGTGGCATTAAGTGCCATAATGTGCACCTACCCCTTCTGGGATATTCGGAGTCGCGGAGAACCTAACGGGTAACCGGGGCTCCGGCTCGACGTGCAGGAGAAGGAACGGGGTGGTTTTTAGTCAGTAAGAGTCTGACACTCCCTTCCGCCTCACCCAGGCGGGAGCAGTCATTCGATGATTTTCCCCCCTTAAAAAAAAAAAAAAAAAAACCCCTTCTGGGATAAAAGGCGTGATGTGATGTTATTATTTTCATTTCTAAAAGTTATTGTGATTGTCATATAATGTCCAATTAATTGCTAGAATGTGATAATTTAGATGTCTTGATTTTTTACAGCAATTAGTTCAGGAGCGCATAGACAAGAGGAAAAAGCTGTTGAAGTTTTTAAGACAATATGATTACAAGAAGTTTGAATGGCTTCTGGAAAAACTCAATATTGAGTACAAAGGTCATCCAGAGTGAGTATTACTTTGTTCTAGACATTGTACACACGGCCACACATCAATCTATACAAAACCAGTGTATCCTGGTGTCGCGTCGCATCATCTTTCCGCACATTTAACGTTCAGTTTATACTGGTTCGTAAAGCTCGATATGTAGCTGTGTGTACCTTATTTATTTCAAACTAGTAATAGCTTAAAATATTTTTTAAAGACATTGCCCCTTTTTAGATTTTTCTCCTGTGTCGTGGGTGCGTTTATAAACTTACAAGTTCACATACACATGACACCCAGACCCAAAACAACAGTTTGTGGATCACACAAATTGCTTAGTACGGTAATCGAACCCGCGACACTGCGCGGCAGCCCAGCCACCGCACCAACTAGATCAAAAGATCCCTTTTATCTCTATAATTATTGTATCGAAAAAATAGACTACTTATAATCTTCAGTGCTGTAATCAAAGCTTATGAATTTTGTTAAATATTCCACCAAAACGAAACTCATGACCATTTAAAAACAACATAACATAACATCATGCCTTTTATCCCCGAAGAGGTAAGCAGAGGTGTACATTATACCACTGTACAATGTAACACCCACTATTCACTATTTATGTTATAGGGGGTGAGCCTATTGCCATATACCGGGCACAATTCCAGACTCCGTGCTGTAGTACAGTAGTAACTGAGAATATTTAAAAACCCAGCAATACTTTGCCGGGCCCGGGAATTGAACCCGAGACCCCTTGCCCGGCAGTCGCACTTACGACCACTCGGCCAACGAGGCAGTACATTTAAAAACCTGCCTTCAATTTATTAACGCAAATTAATCTCTTCTTTTCAGATCATTCCACAAGCTATCCCGTAAGGAGTCACTCCGCAGACTCACCGAAATGCACTGCGAAGGCATTCGTAACAATAAACTGGCGGACTACCGCAACTTACTTGAAAGTCAACAAGGTCCATTCTTAAAGGAAAAATTAGATAGTTTGAAGTTTATTCGAAGTGAGCAGATGGAATTGAAATTACCGATCACAGTCACTGAACAGGATATTAAGAAGGTTGAACAGCAGTTAGAAGAATGGACGAAGAAGGATGAGATCAAACAACAAGCTAAGAAGAAGAAGAGGAACAGTATTCTAGAAGTTGATTGATTTTATTTTTGTAATGTAATTATGTAATTATATGTTGTAGAATTTATATTTGTCTTTTTTTTTACTCAAAGTCAAAAGTCAAAGTCAAAAATAATTTATTTCAATTAGACCAGGAAGGCACTTTTGAACGTCAGTAATAAAAATTTAAAAGTGAAGCTACTTATTTACTCATTCCAAGGTGTAGATTCCTATGGAGAAGAACGAGCAAGAAACTCCATAGGTTACTCTTTTCCAATCAGTTTCACAATACAATTCTTCAGTTACACAGTTTTATTGGTTTGATTGTGCGAGAACAAATGTAACACCAAATCTAGCCAAAGAGATCGAAGAAGAAAATAACCCTTAAAGACAATAAATAATACAGTCTGTAGCTGACCAGTCACAGTTGACGGCGCCCGTTCACGAACATGACACGTACACCAGCACCGCCCAACTCAACCATATTGCAGGGAATCTAGCGACCCAATGCACGTGCCACCGCCAATTGGATCTTTGAGTGAACATGACAACTCCAAGCTGACATAAATGCATTCTACTAGTCCAATTTAATATTTAGTTAATTACAGGGCTCTCACATTAACAATGATTATGCAAGTTAAACAATATACATTTAAACAACTACGTTGTAATATTTAGGTTGAATTTCGTTGACACATCAATGTTTTTCGTTATCCCGTGGAGCTGGACCAGCGTGCATCCAAGCATTTTTATCTTCTATATAATCATTAATTTTGTAATATGCTTGTCTACATAAAGTTTTTTTTATACATAATTTAAACTTCATTTCATTTAGGTGCTGTATATCGCTTGGTATCTTGTTATAACATTTAACACAGAATCCCATGAACGATTTAACCACTTTCGCCAATCTCAAAATTGGCTGACTTAATCTATCCTTATGTCTAGTTTGATAGTGGTGTCTGTCCGACACTTTACCAAATAACTGTAGATTTTTCCTAACATACATAATGTTTTCATAGATAAATTGACATGGAACGGTCATAATGTTGATCTCTTTAAACCTCTCTCTGAGAGATTCGCGACGACCTAGGTTGTAGATAGCTCTGACGGCGCGCTTTTGTAAGATAAAGATAGACTCAATGTCAGCAGCGTGTCCCCACAGCAGAATGCCATACGACATAATGCTATGAAAGTAACTGAAGTACACTAGTCTTGCCGTGCCTATGTCGGTCAACTGTCGGATCTTCCAGACAGCATAAGCTGCAGAGCTCAATCGTCCCGCTAAAGATGTAATATGAGGACCCCATTGCAGTTTGTCGTCTACAGTAATCCCCAGAAAAGTAGTCTCTTTTACAAATTCTAATTTCTCATCATTCAATAATATGTCACATTCGCTGCTTTTAACATTTGGCAAAACAAATCTAATACATTTTGTCTTTTTATCGTTTAATACTAAATTATTTAATGTAAACCAATTTTGAACCTTTATTAAGGCGTTATTTACATCGTCATAATTATTTGTCCGTCTATTCATTTTAAAAACCAATGAAGTGTCATCAGCAAATAAAACCATTTGTGGCTCATTTTTAAATAAATGGGGTAAGTCATTTATGTATGTTAAAAATAAGAATGGACCCAGTATCGAGCCCGGACGGCGACGGAGACCTCAAAGCATCATTTTTTTAATAGTCGTGGTGGCTCGGTGGTCCAAGACGCCCGCTTCTCATGCTTGAGAGCGCTGCTTCGAAACCTACCCACAGCAAGTACCAATGTGATTTTTTCCGAGTTATATGTACTTTCTAAGATTATTTAGACATCACTGACAAACGGTGGAGGAAAACATCGGGAGGAAATCTGGACTTTCTAATTATAAGTTTGAAATCGCCAACCCGCATGGAGCAAGGGGTGATTAATGCTCAAACCTCCGTGCGAGTAGAGGCCTTCGGTCAGCAGTGGCCACTTTTAGGCTGTTGATGTGATCCATTACCTAAAATATATAAATCACTAGCTTTTGCCCGCGACTTAGTACGATTCTTTTCGATCGATTTTTCGATTCTTTCTGTCTTTTTTTTAAAGGGGGGAAAATCATCGAATTACTACTCCCGTCTGAGTGAGGCGGGAGGGAGTGTCACTCTTACTGACTAAAAACCACCCCGTTCCTTCTCCTGCACTTGGAGCCGGCGCCCCGGTAACCCGTTAGGTTCTCCGCGACCATTTTTTTTCTGTCTTAAGAACAGCCAAATTTAAGTTTTCATGCTATGTCGTTACAACGGAAAATAGGTTTCATTTTTATATATAAAGAATAGTGTATTATATAAAATTATAGAATTGTGCAAATAAAACAAAACACAAATAGTTTAAAACCATTTTATTAATAAGTAATTAAGTACAAAATTACAATTAAAAATATTCATATAAAAATATAAAGCGTATTCTGAATATCAGTCGAATTTGGACGGAGTATATTTTACATAAACACATTGTTTTCGAGTATATAGAGCGATTTCATATTAAAATTATTGGAATGTACTTATATACTTAACATTAAAGGAAGACTTATGTACTATAATTTACATAGAATATGGCGTTAGGCTAAGAAATATAAGAATATAATGCAGGCACAATCGAGGATATCATCTGATGTTTCAAGATCTGTAATAAACGATAATTTTAAACCAATAGCATTACATTACAATAAATTGGCAAGACAGGCGAAATTGGGTAGTTCCCTCAGTCAAAAACAAATACTATTTATAATAACTATCGTGTGAACATACTAAATTAACTAAAATGTACGCTCGCGACATCACCGCGATCGCGCACGCTGCTCATGAGGATTTTGAGCTCATGATTTTTAAATAACTGTAATGGCGTTAGCGTTTATAGAAGTGTCTGTGTGAAGTAAAAAGTAAAATAAAAGCGCAAGACTATTGGATATTACTTTTATTAACTTCTTTACATCGCTCACACGCGACCGCGCCCGCTGCTCATGAGGAAGAACCCCTCTGTGGTTCGAAACTAGTAGAGCTTTTCTCAGTATATTCACATGAGTAACCCGCGATTTATAGTTAAAAATTTGTATCATATAAACATTTTAAACCAATATTACGCCTGCATTATAATCATCGCATTGAAGAATTGGAAATAGTCTTGAATTCATTAAATCAATTAAGTACAACATTGTCTAAAGTTAAAATAGAAGTAAACAGAAGTTTTTCAAACACTTGGCACATAACGTTAACATTTCATACTGTAGTAATCAATCATGTTTTATCAAATGTGAACTGTGCATAAGTATAAACAAAGACATGCACGTCTTTCAATCCCCCAGGGGATAGACAGAGGTTGCACACACATACACAAGGTAATATGCATTTTCACCAATTATGTTATGAGTTTTTTCCCATTTAGTAAAGGGTGGGTCTATTGTCTTAATACAGAGAAAAATCCCGACCGATTTAATTGAGGAATTATCAAAAAAACTGAATAATTTCCAATGACACTGTTCGACCCAACAATCTTTTGTTCACCAGTGGCATTTGCAATTAACTGCTCGTTTGACCAACAAGTATGTGTAACATAACATAACATCACGCCTTTTATCCCTGAAAGGGTAGGCAGAGGTGCACATTATGCCACTGTACAATGTAACACCCACTTTTCACTATTTATGTTATGAGTCCCATGTATGCGGGGTGAGCCTATTGCCATATACCGGGCACAATTCCAACAATGACAAGTATATGTCTAACTATGTTTTGCAAGTGAGTTACTTTTATTAACATTTTGTTTACACAAACATGATTGATTACCACCTCACGTCCGAGTTCCCTTGTACGTAGTGTCAGAGCGCGGTGGTATGCGGCGCGCGCGCGTAGGCGGTGGGAATGAACCCGGAGCGGCGCGCCTTGGGGGCGTGCGCCCACAGCCAGCCCTCCACCGTCTGCTGCGTCAGGTCGGCGTACACCCACTCGCCGCGCTTCACCGACAGGTCGTCCGGGGCCTGCGCCTGACGACATACACAACTTGTTTACAAATATAAATAAGATATATGAGGTTTTTTGTTGAGGCAGGGATAATCTTCCTTGAGTTGGCTTGGCGGGTCGGGCGGCGAGCTACCCTTGCTCCACAGACCCGCACTTACAGTTGTCGGAGATCGTCACTCTCCTACGTTGGAGACGTCCCGGTTACCAGTTAGTTCTGTGCAGTAGTTACCTTATAATCGTATAGCATGACTAGTTCGGTGCCGTGGTATCGTCCGTCGCTGTCCTGCGCGGGCGCCGAGTTGTTCAGCTTGGTGTTGTTGAGTGCCGACGTGTTGTTGGTCGTTGTTGGAGACAACACTGGCTGGGTCGTGTCTTGTGGACTTGCTGGAAGCAATAAGAATACGTTCTTCATTATCTTATATCTTATACTATTACTAGCGGACCCAACAGACGTTGTCCTGCATATCCACTTGAATGTATAAACAAAAATTCATTCAAATTAGTTCAGCTGTTTAGTTTATAAATAACCTTATCATCGACTACAGCGCCATCTGCGCGGGCTGATTTGTGAATCTAAACCATTCCCAGATCCCCTTGAACACACACAAAAAATTTCATCAAAATCGGTCCAGTTGTTTGAGAGAAGTTCAGTGACATACACACTCACAGAATAATTATATATATAAAGAAGATATACATATAAAGCTAAAGAGTTTGTTTTTTGTTTGTTTGTTTGAACGCGCTAATCTCCGTAACTACAAGTCTGATTTGTATAATTCTTTTTGTTTTGGATAGCGCATTTATCGAGGATAGCCATAGGCTATAAAACATCACGCTACGACCAACAGGAGCTGAGCAGAGCGTGTCAAACCGCGCGGAAGTAGTTAGTCTAAAATATAATTAAAGTAGGTACAGTGGTACCTATTCTGTTTTAATATTTTAGCAAAGAATTTCATTGGCAATGATGCAGAGGATTTTTATTGCAATTTATACTACTATCATTTTGCCCTTATCCTCAGTTACTAGACAGAATCAGTTCACACATCCATCACTTCAGTCCAACAATAAATTTGGACTCTGCCTAAACTGTTATGAAGTAAGAGGCATGATATCACTTTTCGTAAAGTCAAAGTCAAAATCATTTATTTCAATTAGACCAGGAAGGCACTTTTGAACGTCAAAACAAAATATTTAAATCCTTACTAATATTATAAATCGGAAAGTAAGTTTGTTTGTTTGTTCCGCATTCACGCCGTAACGACTAAACCGATTGCTTTGAATATTTGCAGAAGTAAAGTTAGAAGTCCGGATTAAATAATAGGGCTCTTTTTGTCCCGGAAAAAATTGATATTCCCGATAGATAACAAAAGTATTAGTATAGATGGCGCTGTATATTGTGTGTATTGGTATATGTTACATAGGCTACTTGTTATCCCTTTGTGACGCGAGCGAAGCCGCGGGTAAAAGCTAGTATTAAATAATAAGAAAATAATGTCAGTCTGTAGGTCAGTCCTCTAGTGAAGCTTTTGCTTGTTTCAAACTGTAGATTCCTATGGAGAAGAACGAGCAAGAAACTCCATAGGTTACTCTTTTTCAATCGGGTTCACAATACAATTTTTGGTTACATTATTTCGTTAGTACCTTGCACTACAGCTGGGTAGACGAAGCCGGAAGGTATGAACCCCTCCTGTCCGTCACTCCGCACTATCCAGTACCAGTCGGGGTCCTCTCTGTTTAGCACTGAAATATTAAAATGTGGAATCAGTTTTAGCTGGATCAAGACAGAATTGATTTAGAAAGAAAGAAAGAGAAAGAAAAATAATTTATTCGCCACCAAACATGGACCACCGAAAATTAACACACAAAATAAACACTGAAAAACAAAAAAATAAAAAAGAAAACAATATAAAAACATAAAATAACAAAAAAAAACAACAATGAAGCCAAAAAAAAACATAAAAAAGCTAAATAAAAGAAACATTTAGACTCAATTCCGTCAAATATGATGTCTGCATTGCTAGTGGTTGCTAGTGATATATGCTTGTTTTATGTAATATATTATGTGACAAAAGATCCACGGAAACACTGATTGTATTCACAAATTCTAAACTTCTTTTTTTTAAACGTTGCCCCACACTAGGAATATCTTCTGTGTCGTGGGTGTGTTTACAAACATACAAGTTCACATACACATGACACCCAGACCCGGAACAACAATCTGTGGATCACACAAAGAGTTGTTCAGTTGCCCAGCCAACGCGCCAACCGTGCAGTATCTATATCATATAAAACGAACTTGAAATCAAAGAATTCAATTATCAAAGCTATGGACTAACTTGGAATCACTCTTGAATGTCTAGAAACCAAGAATTTAAGTTGGAGTGTTGTTAGAACCATTTTATACATACATACATAACTTCACTATCTCCCTTTGGAGGGTAGGCAGGGACTATGGAACGACAACTTCAACACCCCTCGAGCGTCCTTATGAGCACCCGGTGGTTCATAAGAAAAAATGCTCCATGCTGCTTTCTCTTTTATAAAATCTATTATTAATGTTTTGTTTTTATTTTGACTGTATTTTTTATTTCTATTGTAATGATCCTTGTTTTCGTGTGCCAATGGCCGAATAAATGCATTTTCTTTATTTCTTTCTCCAAATGTCACTTGTGCACCCGTTGGATCATAAGGAACGCGGAAGATGGACGGGTTAAGGTACATTGCCTTGTTAACTCACCGGTAACAAACTCCCCGCGTTCAACATCAACGTCATTTTCGTCCCTCGCAGTAAATGTATACAGCACCACATATCTTCCTGAAGGATCCTTGCTGAATGGACAGGCTTCTCCTTCGCTGCCCAGCTCAGAGTGCCCGTCGTTCGTCACCCCGTCTGATACCGATAGTCTGGGGAGATTGGATTTATTATAGGTTATTATAGGTAGGAGAATTTGCATGAAATATAAGGTACCTAATAACAAGCAGTAGATAGTCATTAATATATAGTAGATTTTGATTTTGAAGTATTATTTTTTATCTTAAGTACTTTAATACAGAAACATAGGAATTACACACATTGTATAGATCCTTACTATCCTTACTTCCTTACTTATATTATAAATCGGAAAGTGAGTTTGTTTGTTTGTTTGTTTGTTTGTTCCGCTGAACTACTGAACCGATTGCTTTGATTTTTTGCAGACGTGAAGTTAGAAGTCTGGATTAAATAATAGGGTACTTTTTATCCCGGAAAAATTTGATATTCTCGAGGGAAAACGAAATTATTGGTATAGATGGCGCTGTGTGTATTGGTATATGTCACATAGGCTACTTTTTATCCTTTTGTGACGCGAGCGAAGCCGCGGGTAAAAGCTAGTACTTATTAAATCAAAATCAAAATTGCACATATCCAACACATTTATCAACTGCCTCGGTGGCCGAGTGGTCGCAAGTGCGACTGCCGGGCAAGGGGTCTCGGGTTCGATTCCCGAGTCGGGCAAAGTATTACTGGGTTTTTAAAAAATCTCAGTAGTAGCACGGAGTCTGGAAATGTGCCCGGTATATGGCAATAGGTTCATCCCTTTTTACATAGGACTATCAGACTATGGGACTCATAACATAAATAGTGAAAAGTGGGTGTGACTTCTGTGTCACCTCTGCTTACCCCTTCGAAGATAAAAGGCGTGATATTATGTTAATTATTGTGTAGGTAACAAACACTTGTTTAATTTGTATACCTTCCTTCAATTCTATAGTTAAACAGTTATGTCATACTCACTGTGAAACGTCTCGATGCGCCAGATCAGTGGGTGAGCGACTTCTGGGTAGTTTCTTCTTGAGGTCGTGTGGCTCGCAGGGCGCGCAGTACGAGTGCGGGATGAAGCCCTCGCGCCGAGACTCCGCCACTATCACGTACACCCAGTCGTTCTCCCGGTATAGGACGTTCACTATCTGGCCGCGTTTTACCTGGAAATAGTTCCAAAGTGTTTTGAAACATCTTTTCATTGGTAAACTATAGCAATTATATTATGTAGTGTTTCATTGCCAAATGATTAGAAAACATAACATACCATCACGCCTTTTATGGAATGGGTAGGCAGAGATGGACATTACGGCACTTAATGCCACTGTAATGTTATGTTGTAAATGCCAAATTTTAACCCTTTGAGTACCGTCATTATAGACACAATTAAAGAACAATAGGTGTGCAGACAACGGTGTCCTTATGGTGTTTGACAGTTCAATGACTCAAGCAAGTATGAGGACCAAGTTTCATAAGTGTTAAGTTAAAATAGAAAAAAGTAACAATCCAACAATTTTCACATCATTCAACAAAATACAACACAAAGCTCTCACCTCCAACTCATCATCAACACAAGGCGTGAAGTCATGTAGCACCACCATCTTAGAATCAGGACTGAGTCCATGCTCCTTCTCAATCCCGACCCTCACTAGAGTCTCTATACTGGCCGAGCCTGTGATGCGGCCCATCCCTGGACTCAGGCCAGAGCCAGGACGGGACAGGTCCTTGTCTGAGTCCCCGCTGCTAGCTGGAATGAGGATAGGTAAGTATTCCGTAAGTAAAAGTATTCCTTAAGGTTTTTATGAAATTGATCTAAACAATGTCTCTTTGATCAGTGTCCTGACTGGAAATAAATAACACAGATATAGTAAAATAAGAGCTGTAATATAGTTTTTTAATTTTTACATGTAGCATAGACTTATCTAGATACAGTCTCTAACTGAATTTAGATAAGTCTTGTAAGAATTTCAAAGTATTGTGTAATTAATTTAATAAATGGAGTAATCTCATGGTTATTTGAAGAAAATTAGCAACCCAGGGCAACTAATGAACTGTTATTATGATGGTTTATTGAAGTTTGAAGACTTATACTAAGCATAACTTAATGTAAATTTTTAAAAATAGTTATAATAACCTTAGTATCAAACTAATACAATTTGCAACATTATTTTAGCATAATTAATTCATAATGTTTAAAAAACTTTAGATAAAACTAAAAAAACTAAAGTTCTGAATCACCCAAAAGCTTTTTGCATCTATGGCTGATTAAGTTTTTTTTTTATTTGCAAATTACGAACAATACATAAAATTGAGGTTCTCACGGTCAAGGGTATTGGTCATACATGTTGTCAGGTGAAACAGGATGAAATTACTAGTTTTATATATTTATAATTATATAGAAAGTCTGGGGTCATTGACTTGAAAAGTTCCCAATGAAAGCTCCATACTTACATTTCTTCTTCTTCCCCCTTCTAATTCTGACTGGACACAGAAACGCCATGTTGTAATAAACTCAACTTAACACATTACTTTGAAAATAACATTAAATCCAACAGGTTGTAGTCACTACTTTGAATAAAATACGATTTTCTCACGATTTCCTACATGTCAAAAAAGTTCACAAAACAACTTTTTTTAACGTTTCGTTACTGCGTCGTCGTAAGTTCTGGTCGTGCGTTTCGTTACCTGCATAAAGATTAAATTGATTTGGAGAATAAAATTTTATATTATTATTATAAATGTGTTTAATTTAAAAATAGGTAATTATTTTTGGGTGTACACAATAACTGATGGTGTCTAATTATCCGGTTATGTTTTCAAATCATGAAAGCCCTAGAGACAATATGTATAATCGCGTGACATAATCGCGCCATTATTTAAGTTCCTGTAGTTTTAAATGTTATGAGTTTGATTTAGAATTAAAATAGGTAAATATTAAATAATCTATATATACACGCATATACGTAAGAATTATGAAACGAATCGTATATAAATCAAATACAATGTTTATTTTCGATAGTCTTTATTTCATAGTATATTTAGGTAGGTACATGAATATTATGATATAAAGGCAGTCATCAGCTTAATCTAAATTTCAAAGATACATTTGGCACATGCAAACCGGAACAGCAAAGTACAAAAATACACAGAAATTACTTTCAACAACTTTAAATTTTAACACTAACTTCAAATATGGATATTCGATTTTATTCAAACTTAACTAAGTAGGTTAATACGCCATCTATAATTTTAATTTATACATTCATTGATTAACAGTTTCTATCTACGCAACATGCAATAATTTCATACGTATTTAACCTGTATAGAAATGTATGTAATACAATCGTTTCTAATTATTTTTAACAGAGGTTTTTAAATAGATTTAACATTATTTTATCTAAGTATTGTAGACATTTTAAGTAGTCTTAAGTTTTTAACATTTTCGAAAGTACATATCTAACAGTTCGTTCGCACATATAAAGACATTTTGAAGCTCAGATTTATTCTATGAACAGATTTCTAAATAATAGGTATTTTGACGTATTTTATTTACAATACAATGTTCATCAAGCACCCTTTTGCTTCGAAGCTCTCAACTCTTCTTGCATTTAATTACTAAAACGTTTTTACAAAATATTTCATCCTTACTTGTTTTGGTGCTTCCATTTCATATGTAGGTATTTAAAAATATTAGACATTTATTTATCTTCAGAAAAATATACATAATCACATTTAGCTATTGTCGATGACGATTGAACAACGATGCGGTATTAGAATGATATTAGCTGGCCATTTTTTCATAAGAAACTACACATCGTAAAAAACGGCCATAACCTTCTACAGGTAGTTTGCTAGGTACGTACTTTTGACATAATTTTTACTTAACAATATTTAATAAATAGCCTATAGATGTTGGGTATCTGTTAACGAGTGCCAGGACTCATGACGATGATCAGGAAACTTTATGCAGTCCATCCAGTGCTTCAACCTCCTTCCTTTAGAACTCGCTCCTAAAACAAGGCTGCCCAAAAAGTCGTTGGGCTTACCATAGTCTTTGTCCCAAACTGTCAATGTCAAATTTTGGCGGGAAAGTTCCGTGGGACGAGTTTCGAAAAGAAATTCTTCATTCCAAACTGGATTTAAGTTTCGCCATTTAATAGATGTTTTGTGCTTCTTGTGATAAGGGTCGGGATCCAAATGCCTGGAAAAAGAAAAAGGGTAAATGAGAATACATTACTACATTTAAAATTAATTAACTTTTATGAAAAAGGTTAATTAGAAGTATTTCACATTCCAATTACAAAATGACTGAAAGTTTCCAATTGAGTTGAGAGGTTGAGACCCTATTGACATAAAATCCCACGCACAAACCGAATTTCTATGTATAAAGAGGGTGAGGGTCCTCGAGATAAGATAAATAAAACCTATTTTATAGGGTTGATTGAGCAATATTGTCAAATATTTTTAGATGAAAATATTCGTATGGAAATAAAAGTTCATTTCAGTCCATGGCGTCTGATCCTTACGGGGATGGAAATATTAAACACGTCAGTGATGGTAGTCACATCCTCTCTATTGTGTTGTAGCTGTACCTACCTATTTTCTAATAAACAATTATGCAAACAGAGGCAGGCAGTAAGTTTCAAACCAACTTACAATTTGACAAATGGATCCGAATAGCCATTGCTGTCCTGTGGCGGTAGATCAGCTCCACGGCAGATGGTCACCACCAAGGCTCTCCTTTTCGTGCTATAGCAGAGAGCCAACAATATCCTGGGTCCAGTAGGTTCAGCACCTGATGATCCTGACAGAGCCAGGCGTAACTGGGCTGGAGACTTCGCACATTCTCGCAGCGCCACCGTCGCAGATCCCATTTCATCGCAACCGTATCTGTAAAAAGAAAAGGAATGGTGTTCTTCACTAGGTTTTTAAGAAACCCTATGAGGGCCTATAGTGGACGTCTTGTGGCCGATATGATGACTACGATGATAATATAGGGTTTTCTTCAGTTTCCTTATTACTATGGACCAACCTAAAGAGGGGCATAAAGTCCAAGGTCTAATTCTGAACAGTTCAAAAATTATAACCAGTATTAAAAAGGTTTACCTAATACATTACTATTAAACCTTTTTAATAGTAATGTATTAGCGCAAATTCGACTCCCACTAGAAAAACGAGTGGTGTAAAGAGTTTCTCCTTTGAACTACAGAACAGATACTGACTCAGAGCTGAAGGTATTCTAAGAGCAAATGCCTCACTGGCTGGAGGCACGCTAAGCCGTTGACAAATCATCCAACATATTTGCTCCTAGTCAAAGTCCCTGTGCTTTGTGTCTTGTGGACTGACACTACAATAAAATTAAGAAACTGCGTTTAAAAAAACCAACTTCAAAATCTAATGACAAACGATAAGTAAAAACTAAAAAGGAAAAAAATAACGCATACCTATATATGGTCGAATTGAGAACATCCTCCTTTTTTTGAAGTCGTTTAAAAAAAAATTACCACAGACTACTAAAGAGACTAACAAAACAAAACGAATTTATTCTCAATCCCCGAACACAATGTTTCCCGACTACGCATGTCCGAAGTTTTCAGAGCGGGAAAATGAAGTGTATTTAATGTTTGACCCAGTTTTTCACGGATGAGCTGGCATAACATTCAATGAGTACCTCCGTCGGAATATCAAGTGTCCTGCTTAATAGAAATGTGGCATTTCAAATGGTAAACCATTTATAGACATTCGATATTTTTATTAGGTATGCTCCTGGATTTTTTTTAACCATTTACAAAGTGGGACTGTTGGTTCCTGGAATTGAGGTTTGAATAAAAAATAGTAAGTATTCCAAGTTCAAATTTTATTAGGTAGCAATAAATACTTTTGTACCTCAATATCGAAGATTTAAAAAGATTCTTAGAATTCTTTAAAGGTAGAACCACATAATTCAATTGATATCTACCATATCACCTATAAAGATTTTTGCTTCTCTCATGTTAGGTTATCATTAAATTAGGTTCGAGAATTGAAACACCGCGCAACGATCTCCGCCCTGGTCACCGTAAGTGCGTGTCTGCGGGCGGTGAGAAATGTAGCTCGATGCCTGGCCAGAACTACACCTATGCGTACGGGCGAGTAACCTCAATGAGCGATCAGATCACTACACATGGGGCCCAGTAGAGCTGATGCCCGATACGAAGTCGCGGAAGGTCTAAAGGGTCGCCGGGTTGCCGGCAACCGATGAACAGAGTAAGTCTGACACTCCCTCTCGCCTAACCCAAGGCGGAAAAAGTAATGGGTTAATACTCCTCCATAAAAAAAAATTGAGACACTACTACAAAAATTATTTCACCCGTATGTACATAAGCAGAAGCATAGAACGCACACATATGTAGTTACGTCGTTTTTCTTTAAACACTTACTTGATTACTCTGAACACGTCGCACTAAGTTTAGCGAACCCAACTTTACTTGATAAGCTACATGTCGCCGGTACAAGAGCTGAAACTACCCACGCTTTATTTACTACGTATTTCTAGTTTGATAGCTCTCTTATATATGTGACTAGTGTAGGTACATTGGACTTTCATTTATAAATATGTCTGAAAATGTCTTGATTAGTTATGAGTACATTTTCATTACAATGTACGCAGTTAATCAACTATTGAGCACTATTTCAGTCGTCTCACAAACTGCCCTTTTAAGAGGCACGTGTCTGAACGTTGATCCGTTTTTCTATAATTTAATTTCTTGTGAGTATCAGATAAATGAAGCATGCTACTGAATACTCGAAGACAGATCAAATTTTCGGAAAGTGACACTCGTTAACTTTTTGCTTTAGATTTAACAATATTTCGCGCATTTCTTTCCAACCTTACAAGTCGAAATATGTGCTCGTCGCGGAGAACCTAACTAACGGGTTACCGGGGCTCCGGCTCGACGTGCAGGAGAAGGAACGGGGTGGTTTTTAGTCAGTAAGAGTCTGACACTCCCTCCCGCCTCACCCAGGCGGGAGCAGTCATTCGATGATTTTCCCCCCAAAAACTGTCAAACACCGCGCGGTTACCGGTGACCGCAACCTATTGTTCTTTAATTGTGTCTATAATGACGGTACTCAAAGAGATAAAAAAAACAGTCCCCTTGCCAACTCTGCATCCCTGATGTATGCTTATACTCCAGTACTGTAAAAGCCATTGTGATTATTACATTGCTCACCTGTCATCATCAAATAGTACGATCTCCAGCGATTTGACAGCGAGGTCCGACTCAGTGATGCCGAAGAAGTGCAGTGTCTCGTTAAACTCCGGGTTCTTAGTTTTGTGGACTGTTTTAGTTCGTAGTCTGTTGGAGTAGGAACCCTCTGGAAGAAGAAAATAATTATTTAGAATACCTTATCTAATGTGTTAATAGCTATCATCTTCAAAATGGTCAGAAGCATCGCAGACTAACAAATTATGCCATTTTAGGGAACACACGACGTTGATATTATCAAATTTAAACAAGAGTGATAACTTTGGTGATTATCTAATCTAAGATTTGCTCCTCAACCAATTAACATAATATTACGTCTTTCATCCCCAAAGGGCCTACCAGAGGCGCACATTACCTATGGCACTTAACACTACTGTACAATATAACACTCTATTTCGTTATTTATGTTATGTATCCCATATAATAGGGGGGTGAGCCTATTGATCCTCAATTAAAACACCAAAACAGCAATATCATAACAACAGAAGTCAAAAAATCTTACCTCTAGGTAAAACCTCCAATCTGCAAAACGGATCAGACAGTCCGGTCATGTCCATGCCGATCAGACCCCTAGCTCTTAACACAGTTACAGCCAAAGATGAGGTCGCATTCTCATACGCCAATTTAATTTCTAATGTCCCAAATCCAGCATCAGGTATCGTAGGGGGTCTCTCAATTTGGGTGGTAGGTTTAGGCATCTCTTTTCTCATGCTGCGAAGACTGTAGGCACTGCCCTTACTGCCTGTCCTTTTTAGGGAGGCTAGAGGTCTTTGTGTGAGGCTGTCCTGTCTATGGAGACTGAGGCCACTGAAGCCGTGGGATAGGATGTCTGTTTCGTTCCATTCATAGTGGGTGTCCTGGAATGAAGAAAGTTAATTTGTTAAGGTTATTTTTTTGTATTGATGTTGATTTGTCGTAAGTAAAAGTTGAAAGATGTAATTGTTATAGCACCCAATGTACAATTAAATATTTATGTTTTTTTTTTGCAAACTTATAATCATCTAAGTAAATAACATAATTTATATAACTACATAAATATTTACAACTTAAAATTAACTACAACTAAACTATTAAATAAAAAGAAAGTAAAAAAAAACAACAAAAATTATACCCTTAATTTAGGCGTCAAAGTATTTGTCCGCATCACTATCACAGGGGAAAGTTCCCAGAAGACTGGCAGCATTGCCACGTTGAATGGCAATGCTTATTTTCTGTCCGAAGAAAAAGCCAGTTATTGTTAATGACAGCTAAGCCAGTTATCGTGAATTTAACTTTACCAATATTAGTATCCACGTCTGCTATAAAAGGGAAACGTCATTGTTCTAAAGGCGATCTTTAATCAAAATTCTAATTAACGCTTCTCATTTATAAATAACAATCTTTAGAAGCATAAAATCCTTTTGTCCATTTATCAGTTTTCTTCACAAGGAAAGCTATAAATATTACTATCCTACTGATGAAACAATTATGATATAACCAAGATAATTAGACCCCTCTGAAGTTTGACGTTTACAACGAGAGCAAGACGTCACTATACACGAATACTGTTGAACGATAGAGATAGCTATACTTGTGACGTACTTCAGACAGATCAACTTATGTTGGTTTTTAAAAAATCGCGAATACTGCGTAACGTGACGTAATTAGGTTTAATAACCCATTAACAAGTAAACAAAGAAAATGTCACTATGTGACAGTCAAAAGTCATTCCACCTCATGAATAATGGAATTTCTTAGAGTAAAGTGTATGCGGCCTAGATACATTTTCGCTTGGCTGCATATCCCGATTTGCATATAAAATATACTGCGTTAATTCACGGCTGGCTTGTACTAGGTTAAGCGATTTTAGCTCTTATTTGCATATGCTAATAATAGGGGAGATGTAAGGATGTTTATGATATGAAGGTAGGAGATACAAGGTTGGTACATGAATCTTGTTACCCACGTACTTACGTGGTTAATTATAATAATTTGTATTTTACGTGTTTCATGTGGTCCCACTCGAATATATTTTGAGTCATAGACGCGATTACAAATTGAATACATCACACTAGACCTCTGGGTACCCGAGCGTACGGCGCGTCGCGTTCCTTGCGCGCCTCAAAGAGACATCAGACCACCACAGATGGGGCCAATCGGGCCGATGCCGATTCGGAGTCGCGGAGAACCTAACGGGTAACCGGGGCTCCGGCTCGACGTGCAGGAGAAGGAACGGGGTGGTTTTTAGTCAGTAAGAGTCTGACACTCCCTTCCGCCTCACCCAGGCGGAAGCAGTCATTCGATTTTCCCCCCTTAAAAAAAAAAGAGCTCTGGGTACCAATTTGTGAGTCCTTCCGTTCCATGCCGGAATCAAAATCACGATACGTTGCATAGCATCTATCTGCGTGGCCACTACGCCAACCATGTCGTCAAATTAGTTGTAGTATGGTAGGATTATGACATTTAATTTTATATAACAGAGCATTACGTCTTTCATCCCCGAAGAGGTAGGTAAAGGTGCACATTACCTAAAAAAAAAACCCCCAGTTATATTTTGCCCGACCCTGAATCGAACCCGAGACCCCTTGCCCGGCAGTCACGCTTACGATCACTCAGCCAACGAACGAGGTAGTCAATATTTTTAGACTGATAAGACTCTGATCCTGAAGATTTCATAAAACTTATATTTGTTCAGATTAGGAATTGATTCTATAAGTCTAATAAATGACAATTTATCGAGATGACGTGAGTGCGTTTATTGCAATAATGAAACGTTGGAGAGCCAATTAAGAGAATGGAAAATAATAGTGGATATATCCATCAATTGATTGATTTATTACACCACTACCTACTTCGGTGCGGTATCACCCACCCGGCTCGGCTCCTTTTAACCGTAGCGTGATGTTTTATAGCCTTTCTCGACAAATGAGCTATCCAAAACAGAAAGAATGTTTCAAATCGGACCAGTAGTTCCTCAGATTAGCGCGTTCAAACAAACAAACAAACTTTTCAGTTTTATATAATAAAATAATAGTATAACTATAAGTTTGGCTATGTTAAGTCAAGTAAACATTTTGAATTTGAATTTAAAGTTGTTAAATACTTTATTAATATCTGGGAGAGCCATACTTCGGATGGACCAGCTCGATCGGAGTGATACTACGGTCTCATAGAAAACCGGCGTGAAACAACGCTTGCATTAAGTTTCGTGGTGCGTGCGTGAAGTTACCAGAGGCCCCGAAAATCGGGTGATCGTCTGGTGTTGAGAGGGTCCATGGACGGTGTTCATTGATTACCATGAGGTCCTACGTCTGCTCGTTTACTTCCCAGTACCACAAAAAAGTGTACTACTAAATTAAGTACCTGGATGACTGAGCTTTGCTCGATGTTTTTTTTAATAATCGACATTTTCTGAAATTGAAATCTAGATAAATCTATTTATTACCCCCGAAAGTCCCTAAATAAAATTTCAAGAAAATCGATGAATCCGTTTCCGAGATCGTTGATATATAATTATACTTTTAAAGTTTGAGTTTATAAGAATTGATAGTTTGAAGGTATTTTTAGATATAAATCGCGACTGGGCGCACTGTGCTATCATTTACTTATCACAAAAAAGAATAAAAGCATAAATTACACACTTATGATAACTTAGCACAAAAACTTAACTCAAACATCCAATCTCCCTCCTAATTTACAAGCCGATTACATTCCAAGCCGACTGCTAATAGCTTAGAATAGCTTGAAGTCAGAAGTTTACCGGCTTCAAAATGAAGTCGGCCGTTAGTCGTGTCGTGTGCCGTTGACATTTATGTAATTGCTAATTAATATAACAAAGAGGACTGCTGGACTATTGTTAAGTGTTGTAGGATTTATTTATAACTAGCTTCGGCCAGGTGCTTCGCCCGCGTTGTTGTAGGAGGACAATGTGATGTGTTATATGAAAGAAAGAAAGAATGAAAAAACATTTATTTTCCAATTGTCACACAAAACAAAGAATATGAAAAATAAAAATACAGATACTTACATAAATACAAAATATTAATAACAAACTTAAAAGAATAAAGAAAAGAACAAAAATCATCAAAATATAACAAAATAATGTACATACAATACGAAGCAAATACAATACGTTTTTGATATAAAGATAAATTAAATATACAAAAAATATATATATAAATAATATAATAGTAATATTGTAGTGCGTGTGCTCATGCGAAAAGGGCCTCCACCTCAGCATATAGTTCTTGCCCAACTCAGCCCAACGCTGATTTTCAGGTGGCACCCTGCAGTGACTCACGGACGGCGGTACCCTCAATAAGGAAAAGAAAATATAATATGAAATTATATAGATAAAATAAATTACGCAGAATATGTGTGTTGTGTGTATGTGTGTGTATATCAGATCATATTCTACCCCTGTTACAAATTTCATCCTGATTCCTTTAGCTGTTTTTACGTGATAAAGTAACAAAGCGTCTATCAACCATAGTACAGACGCGCATACTGCAGTACTTTGGCCATGTCTCCCGTCGTGATAACAACTCCATAGAACTGTCGCAGGGGAAAGTAGAGGGAACCAGATCACGAGGCAGATCACCTATGCCCTGGACTGATCAAGTCAAATCGGCAATAGGAAACCTAGTGTCAGACTGCGCCAGACAGTCCACAAACAGGGAGAGATGGCGGGAGATCGTGAGGAATCTGTATCGGCTTCTAACACAATACGGCCGCCTCAACGTGCGCTCTGCCTAGCTAGAGCGAAACGACAGAGAAGAAGTAACAAACATACATACAAACGCACCAACTTTCGAATTTATAATATTAGTAAGATTAACTTTGTAACATAACATCACGCCATTTATCCCCGAAGTGGTAGACAGAGGTGTACATTGTACAATGTAACACCCAATTTTCACTATTTATGTTATGAGTCCCATGTAATAGGGGGTGAGTCTATTGCCATATATCGGGCACAATTCCAGGCTACTGAGATTTTTTGAAAAAGCCCAGTATTACTTTGCCCGACCCGGGAATCGAACTCTAGACCCCTTGTTCGGTAGTCGTAATTGCGACCACTTGGCCAACGAGACAGTAATATAACTTTGTATTAGAATTTTATTTATTTTTGATTTTAAACTTCATACACGCACACTGTGTTATGTATTTGTTATTATCTGTGCAAGTAGATTACTGGCCACTTGTGATGACAATAGTCTATGCGTTGTGTATTATCTATGCTTTATAACAAAGAATAAACGAGTGTGCTAATGGCAGTCTGCAGTTTTCGTTGTTCCCGCTATGTAATTCATTATATGTATACAACACACATACGTGTATTTAGTATTATTATAATAATGCTTTTGGAGTCGAATGCAGTTGCCAAACAAAGGATGTTTGGAAAAATTGTTTTTGGAAGAAGGAACCCAAATTTTAGTTTTAAGAAAATTTCTCACCCCTTAGATTTCTAATAGCGCAAAAGTGCCTGGTGTATAATAATAGGTGAATCTGTATAATTATGTTTGTGATGATTACACATATACGAACCTCAGTACATCCGCAATAATTGTTACATTGTTCATGCACCTCTGCCTACCCCTTCAAGGGTTAAAAGACTACATTCACAAGAAAATATGAAAGCGATTCTTATTTTTAGTTACTTACGTTATCAAATCTCTGGATATAGGATAACAGTGGATTAAAATTGGCAGCTCGTCGCGTCTGAGCGGTTGTCATGGCAACCAGTCAATTATTATCGTCCAACCATGTCGCTAACTCCTAGATTAGTTTTTCGGGTTTTTCGTTACCAAGTTAGATATTTGCTTTTCTAAATATAAACACAATATGGTAGGAGGCTGTTTGTCTTTGAAGAACTTAA